GCCACCGCGGCCAGGGACCCAGGACCCGGCCCGGGACTGCGAGTGACCGGCACAGCCTCAGGCCTGGCGCGGAGCTCCATTCGGTCCCTGCCAGCAGCCTGCTCTGCCATCCGCCCTGATTCAGGCTCCAGAAGAGGAAAGTTCCAGGGCTACTCGGCTGGGTCTCTCCTAAATCCCGAGAGCAACCCCAGGGGACAAGGGCCCGGGACCCTGGGGGACCCCCTGCAATTTTCCCATCTGTGCGTCAGAGGCCGCTCTGCGCCCCTCGGCCGGGCCGCCAGTTTTCGACAAGAGTGCTGCCCAGGCCCTCCACTCCGCGCAGGATTAGATTTTGGCGACATCTCAGAGATTGCCCGATATATTCAACAGGGCAGCTGGGCAACCCCGAGGGTTAAGAGACTTGCTCAGAGCCCTGAGGTTAGGGTGAGAGGGACCATCTCAAGGCCAGGCCCCTGCAGGTTTCCTTGACCCGGGCCTTCCCACCTACTGTCAGCCTGAGTACTCGGGAAGGAAGTTGTTCGGTTGATTTGAATCCGTGTTTTCAGCTTTTGTATTGCTCACAAGAGATTTCGAAGAGCCTGGACCACTCTCTGCTTTAGCCCAGGCTGCAAGGTCTTCACTGGGACAGCTGGGGCCACCAGCTTTGGCTAGGGGGACCATTGGGTACCACGGGCGGCGCACTTGCGTGCCCCAACCTCCTGCCTTTCTGTGCCTGTTCTGAGGGTTCCCCCAGATCCTCTTTAGGACACAGCCCCTCCCAAAGGTATCCTCCAGAATCCTACCTTTAACTTGCTCTTTTTCAAGGGCCCCAGAAGTGGAAAGAATGCAGACTCCTGTATCTCCCTTCCCGGGGCCTCATCCCCTCACCAGCTTGTTACCTTGGACAATTTAATTGGCCAGCCCCAGTTGTCCTGTCTGTCAAATGAGGCTAAACACCTCCCTCCCTCATAGGGCTGTGTGAGGGCTGAATAGATGAAAAGGTGTAAAATGCCAGGAGAGCACCACACACTGTGCACTTCCTAAGCCTTAGCTCTTAACTACTGTTATTCTTTGCTGCCAAGTTAACCTCAGTGTTGTGGGGCTGGCTCGAGGACTATAGATAACTGCGGGATAAAACACCTGGTGGTGCGGGTCACACTGTACCTGCACACTAATACTTTATATCTTGCTCTCTCTGACCTCAGAAGCTGAAACTTACTCAGCAGTGACTTCTGGGTCTGTGAGCCTTATGCTCCAGAATCTGTCTTAACTGCCTACTGCACCTCTGACTCAACCTGTTCTCCCAATCCTGCTCCTCCTGGCTTCCTTTTGGTATAAACAGGTCTCTCCTGGCCCCAGACTCAGGATGTCAGTATCATCCCAACACCCCAAGGCCCGGGTCTTTACTCTGACATGGGGTGGTCAGAGTCCATCCCCTCCAACGTCTCATCTCCGAACCTTTCCCCACCATCTGACATCTAGATGTTTTTTATTCATTTGTTTATCAGACAGTTTTACTCATCCACCTTGTTTATCTCACCTGTGTGTGTCTACTATCACTCATATTCCATAAGGGAAGAAAGCGTTCCATTTGGTTCACTTCTGAACTCCCACCACCTCCAACAGTGCCTGGTGCACTGAAGTGGCTGCTCGTCATTGTTTGGGACTAGAGGGGACACTCATGCATGTCCTTTCTTTCATGCATATCCACCATCTCTCCTCAGCCCCTAGTTTCTCCCAGCTAGGGGGGCTGCCCTGGGCTCCCCTCAGGGCTCCCACCTGCTCTCAGGATCCTGTTTCTACTGTGCAACTTGAAGGTGCTCACCTTATTTTCCAAATTAAATCGTCAATCCCATTCCCTCTTTCACAGTCCTAACCAATGTCCCTCACCAAATTCTCCTCTCGTAGACAGCCAAACAGAACTAATCCTTCTTGAATTTTCCTAACTCTAGACCTGTGTACATGAAGTTCCCTCTTCTGGTAATTTCATCCTCCTATCCCTCCCTGCTCACTGTCCAGCAAGAAGTGCTTCTGATGTCAGCACCCGGTCTCAGAAGCCTTCCCTAACCACCCTGTTACCAACTACTCTTGCACTGCACTCCCAAAGAGCACAGTGCTCATTTGAAGCTCTAGGATGAGGTTCAAAAATACCCTGAATGCCAGCAGAACTACTCAGATAATTCTCCTCTTTTTCTTTGTATTATAGTGGCCAGGATATTTTAAAATGAAGCAATCTGACCAGGTGGACAAAGGGTCCTGTGTGTGTGTTTGCTGGGAGCGCAAATGTTGGAGCCAGGCCCACTGGATTCAAATCCCCGCTCCCCCTCACTGCCCAGTGCCATTGGCTAGTTCCCTCTTCTATAACATCGGATAATGCTTTCTCATTTTTAATGTAAACCACAACAACCCTTGAAACATAAATTCTGTGTGAGACACCTGTTTTAAAAAAGAGCAACAACAAATCCAACCAGCCCCAGAGCTAGCAAAGGTCACCTGATGATGTCTGTTTTAGGGGTACTGTTACAAAGTACTAACACATCCCAGAGGCAGTTGGAATCTCCTTCTGTTGTGGTTTGGATATTAGGTGTCCCCTAAAAGCTCAAGTGTGAGACAATACAAGAAGGCTTCAGGTCAAACGACTGGTTAGGAGAGTGTTGATCCACTAAGAGGGAAGTACTGAGTGGTAATGGGGCAGGTAGGGTGTGGCTGGGGTGGGGGTCACTGGGGGCCTGCCTTTGGGTGTATGTTTTGTCCTTGTTGAGTGGAGCTTTCGGCTTCTTGGTGCCGTTTTCTGGGCCACGTTCCTCCACCACACTGTTCTGTCAAGATGCTCAGCCTCGTCTCAAGACCCAAGGAACAGAGCTGCCTTCTACGGACTGAGACCCCAGAAACCATGAGTCTCCAAATCAACTTTTCCTCCTTTTGTCAGGTCTTTTGGTCACAGTGGCAAAAAAAACGCTGACTGAAACCCCTTCCTACCCCCTTCAGATTCTGCCTTCCTGCCCCCATCTCTCCTCCTACCCCTCCTCAGGAGCCACCGGGCCCTTCCTTTAGGAAGGGAAGTGGGCTTAGGCCATGGGTAGCAAACGCTGGGGGCTCAGCTCCCAGAGCATGGGTGGGACCCCAGAGGCCCTGGACCTCTCCTGCTCAGGTGTCATTAGTGCTGAGATTTTACCATTCTTCTCATCCGGTCCCAGGCTTTTAACACTCAGGAGGTGCACACCGCAGAGACAGCCTTGGGATTACTTTGAAATTTTAAGTAAATGGTGGTGCACTCTACAAGTGTTTCTGCCGCCGCCGCCTCCTCCTCCTCCTCCTCCTTCTCCTCCTCTCCTCCTCCTCCTCTCCTCCTCTCCTTCTCTTCCTCCTCTCC